CTCGAATGGCCCTCGAGCGTCTGCAGCACCGCTCCCGTGCGGGCGTCCCATAGCTTGACTGTCCCGTCGTCGTCGGCCGACGCTAGCACTTTGCCGTCTGGCGAAAAGGCCACCACCCCGACCCGACTCGAATGGCCCTCGAGCGTCTGCAGTAAGGCATTCCAATGCTTTTCAACCTTTGGCACTTTTTCCATCCACCCAAGCATCTTAGCTTCAAACTGCCTTTTTATTAGACTCATCATCGGTGCGAACACAAGCGCACTACAATATACTTGAAGCGGGACACGCTCAATCACCGGCCGGTTGTAGAGCATGAAACGCTTCATATCATGGGTAAACGCGTATAAATTAGGACAGTCGCTAGCCTAAATAATTAGTTAGTCGGATAATAAGCTTGATAGCTTATGATGGACTCACTAGAGTAATAGACTCTAAAGAGGCAATTGCGTGTATCCCTTCAGAGACCATCCCCATCCAACTTAGCGCCTCTAACCAGTGCAGGAAATGGACCCTTAGAAACTGGTAGACTTGGTGGTCGTCAGAAAACGGATTACCGCTCTTCTGGAAATGTTGTATCCAATAGAGGCATGCGTACTGAACCTCTGGAGGCAGACACTGCTTCACCTGGGCACTTTCTACATCAGTCACACGCACTCCAGGAGCGCTAACGCTACAGATGTCTTGTTTAAGAGAGCTTGACATGAGCCGAATGCAGTTATCAGCTAAGGTCTGATGCGCGAGCCTCTCGTCTACCCAAATGTTTGGATCGCCACATCTCTCTCTGTCCAGGAGGAAGTCGCGAAACGAAGGATGGTGCAGACGAAGTGGCTGGGTTTGGTCCTTAGGGACATCCAAGATGGCGTGAAGATCCCTCAGCACCTGATCTACCTTTGTCCCCATAAAGAGCAGCGTGCTCAAAGACTTGACTGAGAGGGGGGAGAAAAGAGTTAAAATGCTTCCAAGAATGTACCTTAGTAAACTACGATACTTTTCTGTTTCTTGTTCCATAAAGCCTGGCTTCTCGGAATTCTTCAAAATATCGATATAAAGCTTATTAAGGTGTTGTTCTGGAGTATTAGCAATAACAGAGGTACTGCCCTCAAGAAGTGTTTGTAGCCTTTCGTCGGCGAATAGCCCTTTGTCGATGAACCGGCAAGCGGTTGCGGCCCAGATGAACAGACCACTTGCACTCTGGACTAAAGTTCTGATGATCTCCGCGCCCGGCCAGCTATCATCTAGACTTTGCTGCTGTCTAATAAGCCTGAGATTATATTCCAGGAAAACAGTGATATCGTCGTCGACGATTGACGCCGATATATTGTGCAACACAAAGTCTTGGTACTTTGTGTCCAGGATCTGGCCGAATTCATATCGAATCGGGATTTCGGGTCTGCTCGTCAGAAAAACGCACAGCCGGACCGTTTCCAATGAGCGAGCCTCCGCCAGGAGCTGCACAATGATCCGGATGTTGTTGTCGTCGTCACACTCGTCAAGCGCATCAACTGCTAGGATATACGAGGATCTGCGGCCGCTACCGTCTAGCTTTGCAAGGGGGCCGAGGACGAGCTGGTGCCACTGGTCGCGCAGAGACTGATTCGCAATATCCGGACACTTTGTGACAGCATCGCAGATGTGTTGATCAAGGGCCGGCACGTTTTGCGCGAGCTGGACGGCGATGCTAGTGACGAACTTGGTTGCACGGCTTGCGTCTCCTCCGCCTCTTGAGAAGAAGTAGCTGGCACCAAGACAACCCTGGTTGGCATATTTGCGAGCGATAGTGCGTGCAATCGTTGACTTCCCCGTACCGGCTAAGCCGCTGAGCCAGAAGAGGCAGCGCTCGTCTTGCCCATTAGCCCAGTTGTAGATCTCGTTCAGAAGGTCGACGCGCGTATTAGGTAGGCATGTGGGTTCGTCTTGTGTAGCGTACGAGTTAAACTGTGCGTCCTCGGCGTTTGGTAATCGACCGAGGGGCCAATCTTGCCCAAGATGTCCGCTTAGCATCCTCCTTCTTGTCTGAGTTTTTACTATATACTCACCAACATGGTTAATATCTCCTAGCTGTACTTTAGCGCCGCTGCCTATACGGACACGCTTGTAACGGTGCCCGGTCGCACGTCTATCATTCCCTTCGTGGCCGGGCACTCTGGTGTTGGACATCTGCTTGTAGTAGGACCCGTGGAATCAGGGTATTGTAAGGCCTAAGGTTGGGTCGCGCAATCGCCCTTCCGAAGTTGAGACTTTGAGCTGAGGCCTCGGTTCAGCCGCAGTGCCGAGACGTTGTGATGAAGAATCCCTCCAAGCCACGCATCACACTGCAGCATTGACTTGAACTCTTCAACGGGTCTGACTAGCCCATAAAAAGGAATTAGTGTCCTAGAGACTACCCTTGCATCTTCTTCAAAGGAAGTGCTCGGACGGAGACGCACTTAGTAGTCACAGGAAGGGACATCTCACAGTTCCGATGGCGTGGGGGATGATAAGGACGCAAGGCACTCATTGGAAACAAATATGGGGAGAGAGATTTTGGGACGGTTAGACATTCTCAATCCTACTGCTTCTTAAATCCTGACTACCATCCTGTTGGGCCGACCTAGTCCAGATGCAGCCTTAGTTGTTAGAATTCTGGAGCAGGGATGCAATTCCATATCACTTCTCTAAGATATCCAAAGACACTATTCAATAACGTAGACGGATAACTAATAGCAACAGGAGGCGAGATTAATGATAAATACAATCAGATTCGACCGTGTAAAGCGCATTTAAAGCAGTATGTAAGGCTTGGTGGCGGTGCAGCGGAAGCGTGTTGTGTTGGTGTTGGAACCTCTAGGGTGGCTGTGATACATAGAGAGGTACAGGCACTAGTAGATGGTGGCTTAGCCTGGTTACACAGTATTATTTGGAAGTGGGAGGATCTAATAGTAAGTGGGGTAGTGTTACTTAAAAACGCCTTGGCGAATAGTGAGGAACGATCTGAGGGTAGGCTTCGGGCGGAAGTCGATTTTGCTTGTGACTATACATAAGAAGCAAACTTCAGGATCTAATAAAGTCTACTTATTTACCCTAACTTCAAAGTCCGTGCCTCGTCTATTAACGGAAACCATTCGAAGATTGCAATCATCCTAGAACCCACTGCCACCACTTACTGGAAGTATGGGATGCCATTTAATCTTGAGGAGGCCCTTCTCTATCTCTCCCTTGTGTGCTTCCATCTCGTCAATGTCCCAATTGATGCTCGTCATGGAACCCTTCAGGTAATCAGCGCGGGGAGATGACAGGTACAAGGCAAGTGCCCCCGTTTGCTCGGCGTCGTCTTTAGCGTAAGGCAAAAAGGATGTAGCAGCCTGCATTTGTGAAGGCTCCGGGGTTAGCAGTCATTTTTTTTTTTTTGAAAACAGGGATGTCCTTGGGAGCATACCATCTCTGTAGCAACGATGCCCGGCATCAACGAGAACACGCGTAAGGTGGGATACTCTAGTGCGACTATCAGCATAGCCAGAGAATTTTAAATCATCTAACTTACCTAGATTCAGATATTCCATGTACCTCTGGACCGCCAGCTTGGAGGTCGAGTACGCAGACACTAGCGGCTCTAGCATTCCTGCTAAACCGCTGTTGACTGAGATAAGGCTTCCAACTGGTTCGCTAGGGTTGGGTTGACTTCTAATGAAGCTCATCGCTGTGTTGTGCGTCCCTAACATATTGATTTCCTTTGAAGGTTAGCACAACGGTATGATCCCACTCGAGACGCCGACTTCAACTCACGTAGATCTTCCACCAATTTTCTACTGTTTCCTCATGTGGTCTCTGTAAAGTGCTTAAGGCTGCAGCATTGGCGAGTACAACCTCTGCCGGACGACCAAAGCTCTCTTTAACCTGGGCGAAGAGGTTGTCGGTGTCCTTCTCCTTTGTGATATCGGTGCGAACTGCAAGGATCTTAGTGGCTCCCTTGCTCAAAGCCTTCAACTCCTTCGCCGTTTTCTCGAGGACGTCCTCCCTGCGGCCAGCTATCACGACACCTTCAGCGCCTGCACGAACCCATACCCTAGCGGCGGCCTAAGATGAGGCATGTCAATTATTGACTTGAAGCGTCGAACGTGTGTTTGCAAGAGCCTAGACTTACAGCTCCAATGCCCGTCCCTCCACCGGTAATTACAATGATCTTTCCCTTGGCAGAGTTTTCAGAGTTCTCCGGGTTTAGCTCTGTGGGAACGGCTCGATGGATTTTCTTGGTGAGCTGAAAGGGCAAAGTGTATGCCAGGGCAGGATTAGATCGGTCGGTAGACATGGTAGGTATATTATTCTTGATGAAGATAATGTAATATGAGGGTCCTGTTTTGAATGCTGCGTTTTGGAAGTGTCTGTGAGTTGAAGTGGTTCTTGTATGATATTCATTCTTTCTATCGTCCTGGCCTTTCCTTCCTTAAGTATTTCCTCCTCGTCCGCCATTTTGTCCTTCTTCACTCTCCGTGTTTTCCAAAACTTTCTTGAAGCCGGAATTAACTCAAGCAGTGGCCGTTTTCGCCATTTCCTGAAATTAGAGAGAGGGGTTACTGCATACGCTGAGTTGACATAATTCATATCTGCTGACATTCCACTTCAATTATATAAGCATGCCGGTTCTTCCTCATTTCAAACACGTAGGCAGACAAGGCTGAGGGAGGAGCGGAAATATCTTTGACTCCGGAAAGGCCATAAGAGGCTAGCGCCATGCACGAGCTAGGCTCGCGGAATCTTGCAATATTTCCGCTGCGTTGCTCAGCCATCAAACATGAAAATCGCGTGAATCAGCCATTTTCGTCAAACTGTCCTTTTGCTAAGTTGATTACTCAATCTCTACGCGAAACTCCGTAGAGGTTAAGCTTATGGAAATCGTTAGAAGAATCGGTATTCCCTTTTTGAACGGAGCGACTTGATACTCCGACTCCCTGGGGATTGGCCCGTACCCTCAGGAAGATAGGGAAATAGGTGAAACTTTAGTGCTATAAAAGGAGTGCGTGTTACTATGGCATTCCTTCAGTATCACCGTTTACTTCTGTCAATCTTCTAACCCATTATATTCCACGCGTCATTTCTACTCCACCCCTGAACATGGCCGATCTCGGAATTTCCGACATCTTCAATGTCAATGGTATGGTCTTTGTGGTCACCGGTGGTGGGAGCGGTCTTGGAGAATGGATGGCCCTCGCACTAGACAAGAATGGCGCTTCTAAAGTGTTCATCCTGGGGCGTAGAGCAGAGTCTTTGAACAAGGTGGCACAGAAAGCTGTACGTTTCACACATCCCTATCCTTCTTTATGCTAATGGAAGTCAAGGCCAACCGCACGCTTGTTCCGATAACCTGCGATATCTCCTCCAAGCAGTCTCTGAAGTCAGCTGTGGAACAGATCGAGAAGCAGACGCCGTTTGTCAACGCAGTTATCGCCAACTCAGGGATCGCAGGTCCAATCACTAGCCTACCTCCCCGATCCCCTGACGCTACTATCTCCTCAATACAGGAAGAATTGTGGAACCTGCCGTTTGAGACTAACCGGCAGGTTATGGACATCAACCTTATGGGATCATACTACACCTTCATTGCATTCATGCACCTGCTTGAAGCTGGAAACACACATGCGGAGAGCCGTGGCAAAAAGGACTTCATACAAAGCCAGTTCATCACTGTCGCCAGCATGGCAGCGTTCAGTCGGAACGAGAACGTTAGCCACCTCTACGCCGCTAGCAAAGCCGCGCTCGTACATCTGACGAAAACGCTATCGACTGGCTTTGCAACGAAGGGCATCCGCGTCAATTCCATTGCGCCAGGACTGTACATCACAGAGATGACTGAGGCGAGCCAAGTTAAGATCCATAATCTCTTATTATGCTTACAGTAGACGCAGATAGTTTCGGACGGCAAAGACTTCAGCGTTCCTGGTAGTATGCCGGTAGATGTGCATCCCATGACACGAACCGGAGGAGCAAAGGTCAGTGGAGTGTCTTTCGCTTTCCTTCATGTGACCGGGACTGATCTTGCTTTCAGGACATTGCTGGTGCCATTCTCTTCCTCACTTCTCAAGCAGGCGCGTACGTGAACGGGAATGTTCTGTTGACAGATGGCGGAATGTTTGGTCTTCAACCTATGACATACTAAGGGATAGAATAATTTGATTATAGATGTAATAAGAGAATCGATTTGTTAGATTGCAATGCAGTATCACTACAAGCCTTTCCTTGCATTAGAATGAGAGGAATTTAGTATAGTTTACAGGTACACGAAGTCTTTAAAAATCCACTCCAACCCGTGCATTGGATCCTATACGACAGGATGTTCTTAGCGTGAAAAAAAATTAACAATGGGTAAATGGAAGAGCTCTCTTTGCAGGCCTCCCGCAATAAGGAGCCTTTAACTGGTATGCTCTCCGTAAATCCACTCTACCCATGAGAGAAAAAATATATTAAGCTAAGAATTAAGCCACGGCATATACTTCCAATTTGCTCTTACTATCTCGTAGACATATTTTGCGTCGTTCATTGGCCGGGATATAATGTTGCTTTTTACGAGATCTAGATGTGAAAAAGTAGGCCAGCCGTCCTGCGCATTGGCATATAGGGAGGATTGAAAGAATTTAAGGGCGAGTTTCGCACTGTAGCAGCGTAAAAACTGACGGAACACAGCTGCGCACTTAGTTGTTGTAAACATTTCATCTGCGGAAGCTTTGTATGAGTTCAACGATCTACATGGTCTCTTAGACGTATTTCAATCAAGCGGTCAGATTTGTCTTCAATTGTTCTATAATTATAATTGCCAGAGAAATCGGCTTCTGTCTATGTATAGCAGTAACAAGTCCTCGTGTCCTGCTTAAGAGCAAAATTCTTGGCATCTTGCCTTTTATATCGAAAAGGGTGCCATTCTCGCACGTGATTTTTCTTCAGGACAAGAGGGTGGCTCTCCATCGCAATTTAAGCTCGCAAGGGTGTGGCCGGTGAGAGTCGGCCGCCCTCCTTTTTAGCGCTAGCAAAATACTCGAGAGCTACAGATGAATTCCTACACTACAAAATTTTCCAAGTTACTCAGCCCAGTCCTCGTTTTGCGCATGAGTGGGGCTGTCTGTCGCGGGTCTTGGCACGTGGAGGAGCTTTGTTCACTGAAGCACCCTTCAACCTTGCGACCGCTGCAAGATTATGAGAACTGAGGGATGCTGTAACTCCTTAACACCAACTCGTTCCTATCTCTCGTCCATATAGTGCTTGCCTCCCACCTTCATCGCGGCCCACCATGCCATGGATCTGCTCAGTGTAACCGCTAGCATTATCGCCATCCTGCAGCTCACGAGCAAGGTGGTCAAATATCTTGACGACGTTAAAGACGCCCCAAGAGACCGCGCTCAATGCGCTATTGAGGCATCGAGTCTCTATAATCTTCTCATCACCTTAAGATACCGGTTTGAAGAGGGGACTTCCAACGAGCCTTGATATGGGGCAGTCCGAGCGCTCGGTGTGAAAAATGGCCCGCTCGATCAATACAAGTTTGCGTTGGAGCAGTTGCAGGCTAAAATAGTAAAGGAAAGAGGAATAAAGGGGTTGGGACATTCACTCTTGTGGAAGTTTGTTAAAGAGGAAGTTATGGAGATAATGGCAAGAATAGAACGCTTGAAAACACTTGTGCAATTGGCCCTCGAAACAGATCACTTGTTAGTTTCCTTTGCATTAGCATTGCAAGATAGGGCTGCTCACATATCGAAGCAAATTGTCTCAAGCGATCAAGGAAGGCACAGATGTCACCCATGGCAACATAGAAGCAATCAAAGAGGACACAAGCCTCCTTCGGATCCACATTCCGGCTATAGAAACTGGCCTTGATACAGTACAGCAAAGAGAAGACAGGACACAGCACGAAATGCTTATGGAATGGATATCGCCAACGAACTTCCCGGCGCAGCAATCTGACCTGCTGGTGTCGTCTCTAAGGCGTTCACTAAGGGTGACTGGTGGGATTGAGGTAAGACGTTAGTAATGGTAATGGGGGGGGTAGTTTGGTGTGGATGTCGGGCTACTGCTTTTAGCTTGTCGCTCCTGTCGTTGACGTTCTTCTAGCTGCAACTGCTCACGGAACCCCTCAGGGATGTCGTCATGGTCTCTAAGAATGTTGCCTTGCTCTACGGATTCAACCAGGGCCTTAAGATGATGGGTCCTTAGGTTATAGTGCTTCTTGCTAAAAGAGTCGCGCCAGCAACAAGGCCCCAGATCGCACAGTGGGCCTAGACATCGCATCAACGCATACACTTCGCGCCAGGCTGAGGGATTTCCAGTAGCTTCCTGTTCTGCATCAAGCTGCGTAGCTCGGTCGTTAAGCATCCTCTGTGTGGCAGCGCCACGCTTATTTCCACGCTGTGCTGGACCAGCAATTGGGCTAGCATTAAGGTGCGAGTCTACGTAATTGAAGGATAGATCAACTCAGAGCTTCTTACCAGAACGGAGCCGCTCATCCCACTCCTTGAGTTGTTTGGATATAATAGGCTAATTGATGTTTAGATCCTTAAAGCTCTTGACTAGATCACGTTGCGTACGGTCTGTTACTGAAACAGTGACATTAGTGTCGTTATATCGCATCTGCTGGCCAGGTCTGAACTTTCTTCCTAGAAGCTGTTTGAGCTTAGGCCTAAGAATTGTATGCTAATACTTGAGAGGAATCAGGACAACGTCTTGCTCTGTATCCTGATGCACTACCTTGTTATTGAGGACGACCTTCCACTTAATTGAGTAGTGGAGGCAGGTGGGCACCTCCTCTCTGTAACTATTATGCTTGTCCCACTCATCTAGTTGAAGGAATTGGAGCCTGTCTGGTTCTAATTGTGTCTGCAGGTGGGCAATGCTTGTTTGGTCTGAGAAACTGCGACGGGTGGCTTGGGGCGTCTGTGAGGCGTTAAACGGTGTAATGTTACCTATAAATTGTGTGTCATTAAGGTAGCCCTGCTCTTGAGAGCCGAAGGACCTTTGGTTGAAAGAGAAAGGACTCGTCATCGCGTCCGTATACGAATAATTGCACCACACCGTCGTTGTGCAAGCAGAAGCGCAATCGTAGCCTCTTCGGCTCTTCCTCGGCAGACTTTCCCCCTAACGCTCAAGACGAAAGCGTTCGCGCATCAGATTTTGGATTTATACGACTAACGTTAAAAGGACAACAAGATGAAGTAACCATAACCACAAAAAGATTCCAAGATTCCAAGACTCCAAACCCTTAGCAAATCTTCTTCCAAACTAACTGACTTACGTCAATATCCTGCTCAGCACTATCATCCCCACACTCCAAGTTCTCATTCCCTTCTCGGTATCTCCATTTCTTGCCCATTTTCTCTTTAAACCAACGCACATCATAAAGTCCCTTATTCACCGCCTCTGAGAATGCCTCTACTCTTTCTCCGGGCGCCATCTTAACATCTAGATCTGGTGCCACAAATAATACTGCTGACAATCGTCGCACTCCAGGCACACGTCGAACGCGGTGACGTACGGCTGCTACCTTTCCCCCGCTCAACACCACTGCACACCACCCACACAGCAGTACAGTCGCGTTGCCAGGCACGGGCACCCACGTACCGGGTGTTTCGGGTGCCTCCATCTCGAGCCCTGCAGTGCCGTCCTGAAAGATGATGCTGAAAGTGCCGTAGTCGGTATGGGCGCCACATCCGTTCTGGCTCTTTGGAGACGCAGTCGCGGGGTTGTAATCAATGAGGCGGAAGTTAACATTGAAGCTGGCGTGCAGCGGAGCTAGGTCGCGGCCAGCAATAGCGCTAAGAGAGGTTATAACCTGTGGGACATAATGATCCGAGATCGTATTAAAGAAAGTCAAGATATCACCGAGTCCGTGTTCGGTAAGCTCGACTTGAAGACCAGGAGGGATGCGCGCAATTCGAGTGGGCGAAAGGTCAACAGTAAGCTTTTGGTCGCATGTGGGGTTTTCGGTGGCAGCAGTCTTGAAGATACCACGGAGAGTGTACACATCATTGAGAGCTGCAGCGGAAGCGGGGTTCTGTGCCAGATAATCAAAGAGATTCCGGATCGCGGAGAATGGAGCCGCGGTGATTGGGTTGATAAAAGTAAGAGCTGGACTTAAAAGGTCTGCTCTAGTGGGAGTTGACTGAGTAGGTGTTGACTCGTAAGTTGGGTAATGGTTCTTGGAAGTTTGAGTAGCCATAGTAGATGTAACTCTGAGATAAGTTATTGGTTTGGGTTAAGGCGGAGTAACCCCTCTTAAGATTATCTACATTCTCACGTGTCGGGGTGCTCAACCGCTGAACCTTACCGTAATTGGCAGGTGGAGCTGCACTCAAAGGTGCGGGGACTGCTGCTGCCTAAATTCACGTGCAGCACACAAATACGAGAAGCTCCGTAGCGAAAATTACGCACGCGAAATAAGCAATAGGGAGTGATTCTATCTATATCGGGCTAGCTCAAGGAGGTCGTTCCCGCTCCCACTAAGCAGGGGTATTAACGAGATAAAGTCGAGTAACGTCCATCACTGCAGGTCGAGAAACACCCCGCGCCGAGAAAAACGAAGGGTACTTCAACTTTGCACCACTCAAACTCTGCACACACTTATTATCTATTTAATTTTCATGTTACGTATATAATATAAGTGGTTTTAAACATACAGGAACCTTCGCATCCAAAAATTACAATCGCGTGGTTGTCGCCGTGACTGATTTCGTAAAGAGTCTCCTTCTATCGCGAAACAGACTTCTCCCGCTACAACATCATCATCAGGCTCTTACCGCTACTAAAACCTATAGAATAGTTTTTCTTGAGCCTTCAAACTCCACTATAGTATTTAAAAGCTACTATTAGCGTTATGGTTGCTATCGCACGAAGATCCACGGAAGGTCACTACGCGTATCAGTACCTTTGATTACAGTAATCACCAATATAGGTTAGTGCGATACCACTAGTACTGCGTAATTTACTCAGATCGATTAAGAGCTCAAGTCTTGGCTGTGCGGAGCTATGGCACATGAGGACCACAGTCCCGCAGTCATATGACCCGAGTTAGCTTTGCCGGTGCCTCCAGTCACCAATTCAGCTCTCTACAACTACCTACGAAATCGCCATCGCATAAGGGTATGGCAGGAGCGGGTCGGCCATCCTCCCGCTAGCGTGTATAAAGGGTTCATGCACGTCGCTCATATCCACCTTGTACGACCATTGTATGCTGGCCTTGCCACGCCACACTCTAGGCTCTGCAAGCACCTGCACCCCACTCCACAATGCAATCTCAGCCTGATCCAACTTCTTCTTACAACGTCGAGTGACGCGACGGTGCACAGCTACCGTTAAGGCTTGAATGCAATCCTTTGGTATCACTTAGCGTCTCGCAACGTTAACCTCCATGCGCTCGCCGACCTAACAGCCAGGCCCTACGCACAGAGGTAACTCAGTCGCCGATCGCATCTCTCTACCTAGGCTACCACGAATGAGCCCAGCTAAAGCCTATCCCCACCGCATTCCTCTCCCTAGCTATGGCGGGACTTATGCGGCTTTTAAGATATAGCGACACTGGCGACTTTGGTCTTCCTGAAGCTTTTGCCAGCGATAAGACTATCCCGCCCTATGCGATCCTATCCCATACGTGGGAGGATGGTCAAGAGGTCACCTTTAAAGATCTGATGGACGGTACTGGAAAGGACAAGAATGGCTACCATAAGATCCGGCTCTGTGCACAACAGACTAAACGCGATGGCCTACAATACTTCTGGGTGGACACCTGCTGCACTATACAGACTCACCACCGACGACAACGCCCTACGAAAAGGGTGGCATATGCCGCCGAAAATGGCGGCATAACGTATATAGCTTTTCCATACAAAATTCGTATTATTTACCCACATTCTCAGCAACTTTAGTTCTCAGATCGATCTTCCAATGAGGGGTCGAAATCAGGCCTGAGCACACGAGGTTGAGCCGAGGTTGAGCCGTGGTCGAGCTAGCCGACAAACAATTTGAAGTAACTTCAACCTGCCCAAGCCAGCGTCTTTCCTGCCTCCACTTCCCAACTTTACATCCTCAACCGCCTTCCTTATTGCAGCCTGCGCCTGCATTTTGTCGTCCTGATGATGGTAATCCATTCCAAGAAAGCACCATGTCGTCCTCATCACCGTTGTTGGCGTCTCCAATCGCACCACATTCACCTAACCTTACGAAATCGCCCCAAACAATCACAATGGCCCCGAGAGATCGTTCAAGAGGGCGGACAGTCCACATTTACGATGCTAAAAACCCTGCTACTGTGATTGGAGGTTTGATTGTTACAAATGGCGTAACGAATACGAGCCTTTATTCAATGGTGGAGATCCTTGTGTTGTTCACGTCTACCTTTGAATTGTACGATGAAAACGAGGAGAAAATTCAAAGAAATGATGAGCCGCTTCGGCCTGGTAAATACTATATTCATGCTGTCGGCAAGTTTCTACCTGTATGTCGTCTCATCATCTTGGGCTAACTTTAGGGTTTTGGATAGGCACCTTCGCGATTAATGACGAGCCGTGGTTGGTTCGTACGATATCTCAAGCGACTGGAACTCGCGTGCAATCCTTTTGCCATAATGTCCGGGAACGAGATCGTCGATGCGTCGTCTCTGGCATCAGAGTACCTGGTGCACATGTCGA